GACATCCCAAGTTCAGTCCCTCACATCCCAGATGGTTCCCTGAGCCAGACCAGGAGTGGAACCTGAGCACTGATACCAGGAGTAAGTCATGAGCACCACTGGGTATGAACCATAAACAAAAAAAAGAAAGAAAGAAAAGAAAAAATAAGAAAAAGAAAGATTTCGTGTGTTTTATTTATGGGTTAATTTTCACTCCAGAGTTGTTGCTCCGCATTCATCACAAGTGTCCCAACAGCCCTTTGTCGAAGTTCCCAAGTGAAACCCCCTCCCTCATTCCTCCCTTTGGTGACCTCAGTTCTTTGCTCAGAGACCAGGAGCTTGTTTTCCTTTGCCTTTATCCTTTATCTACTATCTTTCTTCGCATCTTTCTATCCTTTATATAAGTAAGATCCCCTGGTATTTCTCTTTCTCTCTCTCTGCCTTATTTCCCGTAGCATGACCCCTTGCAGTCCCTTCCCTGTAGGAACGGTAAGAACTTAAGTGACTGAGCAGTCCTCTGTTGTGTTCCATGACCCATTTTCTTTCTCCACTCTCCTGTTATTGGGCACTTAAAAATTTTTCCGTATCTCGACTGTTGGAATATGCTGTCATGAATATAGGTGTGCATATATTTTTTCTCAAATTGGTGTTTGTACATTTTTGTAACAGATACTTAGGAGTGGAATTGCTGGATGGTCATAGCAGCTCTATTTTTAACTTGAGGGAAATCTCCCAAGTCTTTTTCCATAAAAGCTGGACCAGTTTACATTCTCATCAGAGATGAATGAGGACTTTCCAATACCCCGCCCCTATCTCTGCTTGTCTGTGATATCTGCCATATTCACACTCTAAGATATATTTTGGTGATTAGGATTCCCTGATAATCTATAATAATGAGGGGTTTTTCATGTGTTTGTTGGCCTCTGTATGCCTTCATTGGAGAAGTATCTTTTTACCTCTCCATTTTTTTTCAACCTAGTTGGTTGAGGGTTTGTTGTTGTCATCATTGTGGTTAAGTTTTGTAAGTTCCTTATACCTCCTGCGCATTAGCTCTTTGTCATACTGTGCTATATGACTATTTTCTCCCATTCCTTGTAATTTATTTTAAAAATTTCATGATAGTTTCTTTCACTGTGTGGGGGCTTTATAGTTTTATGCTTTCCCGTTTGTCCATTTTTTTCCTATTGCCCTTGGAGTTGAATCTCTAAAGACATCCCTGATGCTAACATGGTGGACTGTTTTGTCTATGTTTTCTTCATTATATTTATGCTTTAGGGCCTAGCATCTAAGTTGTTAGTCTATTTTGAGTTCATTTTGTGCACAATTGAGACACTGGCCTCATTAAACTCTTGTGCCTGTGGCTATTCATTTTTCCCAATGACATTTACTAATGAAGACTTCTTCCTCCGTTTTATTCTCTTTAATCATTTGTCATAAACCAGCCATCCATATATGAGGATTTAATTGCATGTGGGTTTTCAATAACATTTCAAAGACCTGTCTTTTATTCCAGTAATCACGCTCTTCTGATGACTATAGTTTTGCAATATAGTTTGAAGTAGGGGTAGGAGGATGTGCCCCTCTCCTTATATATTTTAAAAACATATTGTTTTGACTATTCAGGGCCTTTTATGGTTACATTTTATGGTGGATTTTAGTAGCATTTGTCTATTTCCCTGAAGAATGTTATTGAAATTTTGATTAGATTCCATTGAATCTAAATAATGCTTTGGGAAGGATGTTTTTTGGACAGTATTAATTCTTTCAATATATAGCATGTAATTCTTCTTTTTGGAGGGTGGGGTGATGCTCAGGGGTTACTCCTGGTTCTTCATTCAGTAATTACCCATGGTGGTGCTTAGAGGACCATATGGGATGTCAGAGATTGAGCCCAGGTCAGTCACATGCAAGGCAAATGCCCTACACAGTCTATTATCCCTCCAACCTCTCTTCTGTTTTTTTTTTAAAATAGTGATTCACAGTTTTGCTGTATGTATCTTTTACCTACTTTGTTCATATAGTCTTAGGTGCTTAATTGTTTTATATGCTTTTGTAAATTGGAGGTTTCCCTGAATTCTTTCTCTACTAGTCTATTGCTTCCATATAGAAATTCAACAGATTTCTGTATCTTGATTTTATACCCTGTTACGTACTGTCTTTGTTTATTAATTCTAATCACCTTTTGTGGTATCTTTCACATTTTCTATGTATATTATCAAGTCCCTGAAAATAGTGATGTTTTTACTTCTTTCCCAGTTTGAAGGAGCGATAGCACAGCGGTAGGGCGTTTGCCTTGCACGCAGCCAACATGGCCGACCCGAGTTCGATTCCTCCGCCCCTCTCGGAGAGCCCGGCAAGCTACGGAGAGTATCTCACCCGCTCGGCAGAGCCTGGCAAGCTCCCCGTGACGTATTCGATATGCCAGACACAGTAACAACAAAGTCTCCAATGGAGACGTTACTGGGCCCGCTCGAGCAAATCGATGAACAACGGGAGGGCCTTTACCTTTTTAAGGGCTGGAGCGATAGCACAGCGGTAGGGCGTTTGCCTTGCATGCAGCCAACATGGCCGACCCGAGTTCAATTCCTCCGCCCCTCTCGGAGAGCCTGGCAAGCTACCGAGAGTATCTCACCCGCACGGCAGAGCCTGGCAAGCTCCCCGTGACGTATCGATATGCCAGACACAGTAACAACAAAGTCTCCAATGGAGACGTTACTGGGCCCGCTCGAGCAAATCGACGAACAACGGGAGGGCCGTAATCCTGTAATCCTGTAATACAATATTGAATAACAGTTGTAAGAGAGGACATCTCATCTTAGGCCTGATTGAACACTGTGTTGTGTAAAATGCTGTTCATGTTAGCAGGGGGCATTGAGTGAGTGGAATTTTCTTTCACTCAAAGGTACTTGTTTGAAACCTTCCCCCCAAACTTTGTGAAGTCCTTTTCAATTCAGTAGTGGCAAACAATCAGGCAGAGGCCTCTATAGGGACTGCTGCATAATCGAATATTTCCACATATTCTACACCTTTTCCACCATCTGTCCAGACCCAAATTTTCCTCCTCACCCACCTCCTCCAGGAAGCCCTCGCTGCTTGTCTTCCCATTTGCAGCTGCCATGATATGGACCTAAATGGTTTTGCTACTGCCACTCTCTGATGCCTCTGTCTGAGCAGCTTCTCTCAACAGTCGCTCTCTCCGTCACAGACAGAATTTTAGAACAGGAAGTAGTTCTAACTGTTTGCATTTCACCTTTGAGGAAAGGGAGGTGCAGAGAGAGACAGGAATTTTCCTAGGCCACCCAACATGGTCCAAGAAATGGACCCAGAAGCAGGTCTCCTCCCTCTGAGCAGAACCACGATGGCCCTGCAGGCCCAGGGCGATGGTTGTGATTTCATTCTCCTGAGTGAGCGGAAGCTCCTTATGGCCAAGACTCCTCCATTGTGTGGGTGCCCCCCAGTTGACAGAAGCCTGAGTTTTGACCCTGTGAACTTGAGGTGGAGACTTGGAGAACCACTTTGAACCCATCTTCTACCCTACCTTACTGACCCTTTGCCTCTACTTTCAACTCTGATTCTGCTTCTCACTCAGACACTTTGGTCAGTCACTGCCCTTCTTCTAGGTCACAGTTTGACCGAGAAGCACCAATTTTGTTAAATTGGTGCATCAAACTAGGTGACCTTGGATCCCTTCATGCTTGGAAAGTTCTAGCATTATCTATCTTCCAACTGGCTCCTTAGCTGTCTCTGGGACTAAGGTAACTGTCCCATGGTTTGCTGCATCCAAGTTCCTGACTTCTGCAGCAGAATAACTCTTTCTAAGGCCAGAGAGCATAGTGTCTCTGAAGAGGACCAAGCTTGGAATCCAAAAGACCTCAGTTAAAATCCTATTACTTAGCATCTGTGAGGCCTTCCACCTCTCTCTCTCTCTCTCTCTCTCTCTCTCTCTCTCTCTCTCTCTCTCTCTCTCTTACCCCTCAGTTTTTTTAATAGAATCGATGACACAGAAATAAGATAAACTTTGTGTAAGCTAATGGAACAAAGAAATGGAACAAAGAAGCCTCTCAGTACACTGTAGTTCTTTCCTTTCTTCCACATCCAGCATTATTGAAAATAGGTTGTTCCAAGCATTATTGAAAATAGGTTGTTCCAAATAAGCAGATGTTCCAGAGAACAGGTTCACTCATTGCAGCTATAAAAACATTGACTAATTTCTTACAGAAATCTTTCTGAAATGAATGTTGTATTTGCTTGACATTTCACACAGAATATACCAAAATTATTAGGAAAAGGCAGAGCAAGCGTTATCCCTGCAAAAGGTGGCCCATGAGTAGATGCAGTGAGTGAGGGAGGGAGGGCAAGAGAAGTGGAAAGAAGAACCCAAGGCCTTTTGAAAGAGTTTGGATGGTTCTCACTCTGCCAAATGGGAACCACTGAAAGGTTTTAATAGTAGCATGATGACAGATGCCATTTTCCACATAGATTTCTATTCTCACTGCTAGAGGAGAAGACCTCGGGGTGAGGAGTGAGCATGGAGGCTGGGAGGCTGATTCTCAGCACAGCGAGAGACTTTGGGAACTCAGACTAAGAGATGAAAGAGCAGAGATGGGGAAAGACATATTTGCAAATGCCCAAGGGTTTTATGGGGACAAAAAGCAAATCTGTAGATCATCAGCTCATTGTGAGGAAAATGTCAAACAGAAGTGTAAAGAAGGCCGCCAGAATGACCCAGGAACCCATTGTCCAAAGCTAAATGCTGCTGACAAGCAGGTCCCCCGGTGTCTCTGCGGATGACTTTCTAATGCACTGTAGATAGGAATCGCTTTTATAACACATTGGTTCTTCCAGCATTTTCCACACCATGCCTCTCAGTTCTAAGAACCTCAGTAAGAGTAAAGGAATGTGTTTAACTCTATTGGCTTCTGTTTGTGACAGACCAGAAATGCTGGCATGCCTGGGTCCTGATCTGGGCTCTAACGGAACACAGACGTTCTGCACTTACCTGTGCCCCCTTTCCCTCACAGAGTCAGTGGACAACTGCCCCAGCAACTGCTACGGCAATGGCGACTGCATCTCCGGGACCTGTCACTGCTTCCTCGGCTTCCTGGGCCCTGACTGTGGCAGAGGTGAGGCCTCCACGCTGCTGCCTTGATAGCCCGGGCCCACTTCTGGCGGCCAGTGCAGATGCCCAGATGCCAGAGCTACCTGGCACCAGTTTTTGGGAGTTGTGAGAGGGAGCAGAGGCAGGCAGAGCCCCCCTGGGCTGCCCTTGTTGTCCATGCCACCTACAGGTGCATGGGGCAGGAAGGCGGGAGAGGGACCGCTCAGGGACATCACAGTGCTTGTTCATGGGCCGGGACGCTGGGGCGCTGCTCTACATTTGGAAGCAAGAGGCTCCACTCTGTCTCTGCTGTCCGGAAGCACAGGCCGGATCCTGGTGGAATCACAGGCCAAGGACTGAGACGGCATGCTCTCCATGTGGGACCTGCTGTTGCCTGACTCGTGGGTACTGGGGCAGCCACTTCTCGATAGGTCAAGGCTGTCCATGTTCTTCCCATTGTGTCCAGGCTTCATTCGGATAGGTCAAGGCTGCCCATGCTCTGCCCCGTGTGTCCAGGCTCCATTCCGATAGGTCGAAGATGCCCATGTTCCGCCCCCATGTGTCCAGGCTCCATTCAGATAGGTCAAGGCTGCCCGTGCTCCACCCTGTGTGTCCAAGCTCCATTTATTCCTAGAGGAGTTTATAAGGAACATGGAGATAAGGGCCCAGAGTTCTGAGACGGCCATCAGCAAGGGACCTTGTACGGAGGGACCTGTGTCCCGTGTCCAGGGCGTTGGGTTTCTGTGGGGAGGGCAGACCGAGGGTTCCCATGAACTATCTGTCCAGCACCCTTGCGAAGGCTCCTTCTTATGGATTCTCCACCTCCTCATTGCTCAGTGGGCATGGGCCCAGGGCCTTTTAGAGCTTGGTCCTGTGCCAGGCACTTGCACTGAGCAGGACCCATCTCAGATAGGACAAGAACCAGCTAGATGGTCACCACCCATGGCAGTGGTGACACGCACCACAGGTGGGTTGCACACAGGGAGCCCCTGCCCCAGTCCCTGCAAGCTGCCAGCACAGTGATCCTCCCATTGGGGGGCTGGGGGGGGGGGGAGACCAAGAGAGGAGAGGCTCCCAGGGACAGTACGCAGTGGGCCCTACCACCTGAGCGCAGACAGGAGGAAAGAGCTTGCTCCCTGCAAACACTTCCCCAGTTGCTTCAGAGAACTTAAACTGGAATGAGACCCAGCAGAAGCAAAACAGATGAACGCCAGTGTGGCCACGTGCTGAGGTTTCAGGGTCAAACCACAAAGCCTGGTTGGGAGTGGGAGATGGTGGGGGCCACAGGCGTGGCTTTTGAGGATCTGTGGGCATGGTTGGGCCACGGCCCTTGCTTCGTGTGGGCTGTGGGTTGGTGCGGCTCTGTGGGTGGGTTTTGGTGTGTGGGCGGGGTTTGGGTGTGGGCGTGACTTAGGTGTGGGCGTGGCTTGGGTGTGTGGGCGGGGTTTGGGTGTGTGGTGTGATGTGTGGTTTGGGGGTGTGGGCAGACTTGGGGCCCGTGGGAGTAGCTTTTGGGCTGTTGGTGGGTGTGTGTGGCTTTGCACCAGACTGTCTGTCTTATATTCGCAGCCTCCTGCCCCGTGCTCTGCAGTGGAAACGGCCAGTACGTAAAGGGCCGGTGTCTGTGCCACAGTGGCTGGAAGGGTGCCGAGTGTGACGTGCCCACCAGCCAGTGCATCGACGTGGCCTGCAGCCACCACGGCACCTGCATCGTGGGGACCTGCATCTGCAACCCGGGCTACAAGGGCGAGAGCTGCGAGGAAGGTGAGTTTGGGGATAGGCAGCCTGCAGTGGCCTTGAGGCACACCGGACCCAGAGGGCATCAGGGGCTGAGCATGCCTTCATCCCAGGGCCTGTGCCCCCCAGCACCCACCTCCACCCGACACAGGGCCCATCCGCACAGCCACTTACCTATCACAAGGGGCAGAGGAAATAGCGTCCCGTTCATTCTGAAGGCCAGACAGATAGTACCATGGTGTAGGATGCTTTCCTTGCATGTGGGTGTCCCGGGTTCTGTTCCCAGAATGACATATGATTCCCCGAGCCCAACCAGGAGTGATCCCTGGGCACTCCCAGGTGTGGCCCCCCCAACCAAATATTCAACAGATTTTGCTCACAGAATGCTGCTGCATATAAAGCCCAACCCCCTATGACTAGCATCTCAGTCTGCGGGTCTTGGGGTGCTGGTCAGGCGGGAACATGGCTTCTCCACAAGACCTCCAGCTTGCTCAGTGCATCTGAGAGCTCCGAGCTCAGCACTTTCCCGTCCCTGGCTGGTGGGCGGGAAGCTTAGTGCTTCTGCAGCAACCTTCTACCTAGGGACATGAGTGGAATGCTTTCCTCGGCCTTGAGGGGGCCTCCTCACCAGCTTCTCTATGGTAGAAGCCCCCACTCACGCCTGCTCCACAGCCCTTTTCCCCGCCAGATGCATGCTACAGGCCCCTGCGGGACCCCACAGCCTGTTGTGAAATGAGAAGCCTCTCTCCTAGAGTGAGACCAGGCTGGAGAAGAGAACACGGGCCAGCTGGAGTGGGGGATTAGGCCACCCTCAACACCTCTCTGACTCCGCCTGCCCAGATCTCTAGGAAACTAGAAGTCTTACTTCTCGGTAACCCCATAACTAGAGTCTGATTCAGGAAAATCATCTTAGCAGCAGAAACCCCACTGGATTCCAACGGGCCTGTCCCAGACGCTTCCCTGGCAGGATTTAGCCATGAGATCTGGGATAAGTTCTTTAACCTTGAATCTCAGTTGCCTCATCGGAACCTTATTGGGCTGTGGAGAAAACGATATGATCACGTTTGTAAAGTGCTTCCTGACAGCAAGCACAGAGCAGGCAACTTCCAGATTTCTGGATTGGAGCTGCCTGGCTGTGACCTTGGCCTGTGGTCTCATGCTTCACCTCCCTGCCAAGGAGAAGTGGAGCAGAGACTCCATAGAGAACAGCACACAGTCACTGGAATATTCTGCTTTCTAGAAAGCTAGGTTCTAAGGTTTGGGTTTTGTTTTAATCACTCAAGGTTTTGCTTTAATCAGTCAAGAGTGTGCAAAAGATGATAAAATCTAGTGGAATTTAAATGCAAAATACTGTCACTGTCCTCCCATTGTTCGTCGATTTTTTCAAGTGGGCCCAGTAACGTCTTCATCGTGAGACTTGTTGTTACTGTGTTTGGCATATCGAATACATCATGGGTAGCTTGCCAGGCTTTGCTGTGCAAGCGAGATACTCTCGGTAAGTTGCCGGGCTCTTCGAGAGGGGCAGAGGAATAGACCTCGGGTCGGCCATGTTGGCCACATGCAAGGCAAACGCCCTACTGCTATGCTATCACTCCAGTCCAAATGCAAAATAAATTCTTATTTAAAGTAAGGAATATGGGGGTATGGTGCCGCCAGCAGGTCAATCTGTACCTGTGAGGCGAGTGTATCAGCAGCCTCATGGCGCCTTCAGACTTCCAGATACCCCAAAATTGCTGCTGTGCCTTTGGTCAGACCCCAAAAACTTGGGGCAAAGTTTACCAAGAAAGTAAACGGCCACAAGTTAGGTATGTGGGAAACACACCTACAAACCACCTCCGGCTCAGCTATATAATTGGAGGCAAGGCCTCTTTGGTTCCTGATTGAACTGCTTAATGGCCATGATCCCAGAGACTGAAAAACGAATCTCGGAACCCAGCGGCTTTAGGTAGAAATGCGTCCGATCCCTGCAGTAGGCTACCGGTGCTGGGCCAACCCAGTGGGAATAGGTTTCGTGCCTTTGCCTGTTCCCCCTGGCAGCCCAGTGGCCGCCATACTTAAGAGACCACTGGATAGTCACATTTGGGCCCCCAGTGATGAGACACACAGGGCCTCATGGGATGGGTGTGGAGCCGGGCTTGTCCTCCCCACCCCAACGAGACCCCAAGTCATTGCCCACGAACGGCCTCTCTGGCTCCTGATCAAGCTGCTTAGCGGCCATGATCCCAGAGACTCAGAAACAAATCTCAAAACCCAGCGGCTTTTGGCAGAAATGTGTCCAGACCCCGCAGTAGGTTACTGTTGCCGGGCCACCCCAGGGGGGAAAGGGTGCTGTCCCTCCGCCTGTTTCCTTCTGGCAGCTCTGTGGCTGTCACCCTCCAGAGGCCACTGGACAGTCAGGTTTGGGCCCGCAGTGACGAAACTTGTTGGACCTCACGGGATGGGGTGGAGCCGGGCCTGTCCTCCCCACCCCAACGAGACCCCAAGTCATCGCCCACTAACAGCCTCTCTGGCTCCTCATCAAGCTGCTCAATGGCCATGATCCCAGCGACTCAGGAGCAAATCTCGAAACCCAGTGGCTTTTGGCAGAAATCCCTCCAGATTTAAGTGTTAAAATTTCAGAATTTCAAAATCCCACAGCCACTACTGCAGCCACGCGACATCATATGTTATTCATAACCAGCAACAGAAAACAAGTTGTCTACTGTTGCCTTTTCAGCAGATCTGAGTATTGGGGTAAAATCACAAATAATAATGGTGGGTCTGGTGTCAAAATATTGAATGTGATCAAAGTAGAGAGAGAGTAATGTGGAAATCATCTGCCCCACAGGTAGGGGGAGGGTGTGGGATGGGGGTATACTGGGGTTTTTGGTGGTGGAGAATGGGCACTGGTGAAGGTACGGGTGTTTCATTGTATGACTGAGACTTAGACCCAAAATCTTTGTAACTGCTCTCACGGTGATTCAATAAATAAAATTATAAAAAATGAAAAAAAAGTAAGGTGGAGTTCATGCACAATTCAATCAGCTAATCAGTGGCTGAATAAATAGCAGTACTCCTACAAAAAAAAAAGTAAGGAATCTTTTTTTTTCTTGGCTTGGTTTTTTCATCACACAAATGAGCTGCATTATGAAGCAAAAACAATAATTTGCTCACCACAATGTATCGACCTCTTTCATAGAGAGGGATGCTGTTCTAGAAAGTAGCCATAAAGAAGTGAATAGAGCAGAGTGCTGGTTTAGGGGTTACTAACCATTGGGCACTGCATGCAGTGCTGATACCAGTAGGTTTTTTTCTCATTGAAAGATTTGTCACGGGACACAGGTTCCTCTGGACAAGTTATTTCCCAACAACTTGGAACCCGCATGCAACTCTTACAGGTGAAGGACTTGGGGCTCAGGCAGACTGGCCCAGGCAGAGTGTGGGGCTGGCTCTGCCCTTCAGAGTTCTGGCTCTTCCCTATACCTGGCTACGGCTCCCTGGAAATCTCTGTCCTCCAGACTCCTGGGATCCAGGCAGCCCTCCACTTAATGAAGCCCCTGTCTCCTGACCCCTGTGCTCTCTCCTTCCTGTCACAGTGGACTGCATGGACCCCACATGCTCAGGCCGCGGTGTCTGCGTGCGAGGCGAGTGCCACTGCTCCGTGGGCTGGGGAGGCGCCAACTGCGAGACCCCCAGAGCCACGTGCCTGGACCAGTGCTCAGGCCACGGAACCTTCCTCCCAGACACGGGGCTGTGCAGCTGCGACCCCAGCTGGACCGGCCATGACTGTTCCATCGGTAAGTGTGGGGAGAAGGGGTGGAGAGAGAGAAGAGTTTTCTGTGCCACTTGTACCCATTTCGTCTGCATCCGTGGCTGGATGTGGTTCTCAGCCACGTAGCTGTGGGTTTGCTGTCAACGCTCTGATGTTTCTTCTCTTCCCCTGGCCGCTCTGTTCTTAGGTGGGGAGAGGATTCCAGAACTCTCTCTGCACCGCCCTCCTTCATGGCGTCCACCTTCGTGTCCGGGAGGGTGAGGGATGAGTTTCACGGACATGCACCTCACCACTTCTATGGTCTTTCCTGGGGGCAGGACTGCAGGAACGGCATGCTGAGGGGAAGAGGGGTGGGAACTGGGTGTGGAAGGACTCGCAGCCCAGCTGTCAGCCCTGAGATTTCATCCTTCCTCAGAAGGAAGGCCAGACTCCATGTGGAAATCGGGCTTCTCTGTGACCTGGCCAGATCTTCTACTCGACCATAAGTTCTACAAGGAAAGAAAACACATCTAAGTCAGGCATTATTCCCAGGGCTCACTCAGCATCACTCAGCCTTCAGCTGCTGCCCAATCAATACAGAAATAAAGGCAGGGTGAGAGCGATAGATGAGATAGAATAAGGTGCTTGCTTTGTACATGGCCAACCCCAGTCCAATTCCCAGTACCACATATAGCCTCCTGAGTCTAGGTGGGAGTGACCCTGAGTGCAGAGCCAGGAGGAAGCACCACCGGTGTAGCCCCAACACTCCCACCCCCAAATAAATCTAAATTATTTAAATTATTTGATAACTAAATTTCTTTAAGTATTTAACATTTTAAAAATTAAGAAGTGAAGGCTTGAACGAACTATTCAGTATGGCATTGCCCACAGGTCTAATCCAAGACCACCCTAAGTCCAAGACAACCATCTGGTCTCCTTTCTCTAGGATTAAGCCTGGCTGTGATTACCTGGTTCAGGACTGAGCTCTCACTTCAACAGCCTCACCAGTTCCTGTGATGCTCTACTCTCTGAGTGTTTATGGGGCACCCACAGTAGAGTTGGCACTCTCTCATGGGAGGGGTAATGGGGAAAGTCCTTTCTTTGAAGACCCGTGCTTCTAGTAGAGAGGGGACACTGAACAGCTGCGGGAAGAAGGCTTCAGGGAGGAAAGTGCTTTGGATGGGCAAGCCTGAACTTCCTGCTGCTTCCTGCTGAGAAGTAACTGCACCCATGGCCACATTTCTCACTAAATCATGCTCCATGCTACACCCTGCCACAGAAGCCAGCAGCAACTCAACGAAGTTCATTTAGTTCTAGCTGTGATCAGGAAAGATGTTTTATTTATTGCGGAGTAAGGGTGGGGAACAGGTCATATCTGGTGGTTCTCAGGGCTTGCCCCTGGCTCTGTGCTCCGGGATCACTCCCGGCAGGCTCCAGGAATTATATGGGATGCCCAGAATCGAACCTGCATCATTTGCATGCCAGGCAAGCGCTCTATCCACTGTACCGTTGCTCCAACCCAAGGCAAAAGTGTTTAGATCAGCATTTCCCACCAGAGGTATTACTACCTGTTCCCAAGGGCGCTGGAACAATTGGGTGTGGCCAGTCTAGATTCAGGAGTCCCTTTCTGCTGGTCCACATGAAAGGTAGATTTCCAGGGAACCCTTAATAGTCTTTATTCTGAAAGGAGGTGGGAGGCCCAATATGTTGGGGGCCCTCTGTTGTTCAGACACAACCCTGGAGGCTCAGGAGCGCTGGGCATGCGCTGTCCCCAGGGAATGAGTGGTCGAAAGAGGACCTTCTGAATTATTTGCAGAGCTCATGTAAAGCCAGGATAGTGAGCACATGTGCAGGGCCGTAGGACCGACTCTCGTTACGTAGCTCTCTTTACAGCAGCCTCATAAATGATCCTCTTAAAGCCATGCAGGGTTGTATTGTTCATAATGTGGCCACAAAGCTAATTTATGATGGTTATATAACAGCCTATGCTTTGTTAATTCGTGATGAAACGCGACGGCCTCTGACAGATGCCTTTTACTGAATTCACTCAGTATGATTTAGTTGGGCCTGGAAAAGAAGCAGCAAAACCACCAGAAGCAACTTGGAATAGGGTCTCGAAGGTTCTTCTGCCTCATCTCTGAGTTTGACACTACCCTCCCAGCCTGGTACCAAACACACACAAACACACACACACACACACACACACGTGCGCGCACACATGCACACACGCACACGCACACACGCACACACACACACACACACACACACATACACACACACATACCTCCTAGGATGCTGTTTCATGAGAATAATCCCCTACACCCTTGAGATCCAGGTGCAAACCTCTCCCTGACGTGCTGGGCATAATCTGGGACAAGTTACTTTTCCTGTCAGCTCTAAATGGAGGTAATAATTGTACCTCCCTTCTGAGACCGTTGCTTGCAGAGTTATTTAAGATCACTGGACACCTTTCTCCTGCTCTTTTGCCCATGATAGGGGCTTAGTAAATGTGAGCTGTTGGTTTGATTCTGACTGGGCCAGCCATTAGCGAGAGCCCTGCTATTAACTCAGATGTTGGCTAGAAGCAGGAGGAGATATGCCCTTTCCCGAAATGTGGATTGTGATTTTTAAATCTCTAACCTATAAAGAACAGAAAAGAGTGTCAGAATGGTTCCAAAGCCAGGAATTCAAATGGTGGCTTCAGAATGACTGTCCTTTCCTTCTAACTGTAAGAACGTTTTGTTTGTTAATTATTATACAGCACACACAAATATTTCCTACAGTGAACACATTCCACTCATGTATGCACATACGTATGCTTACACACACTCAAATACACAGTCACATATACACACATGCATGCTCACACATACACACGCGCTTATGTCATACACACATGAATACTCACCCATACACATGCATGCTCACATAATCACATAATACACATAGGCACACCCACCCGCTCACATCATACACATATGAACATTCATACATACGTGCTCACACACAGTCATATAGTACACACGTGTACTCTCACACATCAGGCATACATAGATTCACATCATACACACATGCATACATACTCACACATGTATTCACACACCAACACACAAACACACCAATATACGCGCACACCCTGATACAATAGCCCCATGAAGCAGGGTGACATTTAGGTGCTGATCACCCATTCTCCTGTGGGTGGCAGAGCTTTGCCAGAGTTGTGCCATGAGGAAGATGAGCAAAGGAGCAGTCTCGGTGTTGGGGGTCGGTTCAGTTCAGGGCCACGAACAGAGGTCACCTTCTGTGGGGGAGGACCTGCTCCCACTAGTTGCGGGGCTTCACCCCGACCCCAAAGCCCCCAACCCTCAGTTTCTCTAAGTCAGACCAAACAGGGCTATTGAGAGGATCCAGCAGGAGGCTGGCCTTAGGCTCAGGCACGCCGCCCTGGTAGTTCACAGTATAGCTCTTGTGCTCTTGCCTGGCATGGCGGGTTGACGCTGACACCTGCCCAGGGCCTGAGTGACCCTTGGACCACCAGCGCTGGCAGTGGGTGGCAGGGTTTTATTCACGCTTTTACTCAGTCCCGGATTCCCAGCAGCTTGGCTTCCAACCCCGTCTCAGACATTCCTCCATCCATGCAGCAACCCACACTCCAGACAGGCCACCTGGGGGCTTTTTGGGCTTTGGGGAGGACCCAGGCTGCCACACACCTGGGCCTGCCAGGTTGCCGCCTTTGGAATGGGGGCTTTGGGCCAGTGTGGAGGCAGAGAGGGGACAAGGGTTCCAATGACGGCTACTGCCCTTGGTCCAAGATGGAAAGAGTTGGAGAGGGCAGTCACTTACCAAAGTACCTCAATTCAATCACATTTGCTTTAGACCCAGGCTCTGCTTCTGGTCCTCAGCTGTCACCATACACGCCCATTCCATGCATAGATTTCCAAATCAGTACTCTCCTTTCTTCCTGAGGCGCCTCAGGATGGACCTTTAACCAAAGTCGCCCACTTTCTGGCACTTACCATGCACCAGGATGACAGATGCTTCACCGTCTTCTTCTTAAAGCTCAGGGACCCTGTGCAGGAGGCGACGCCATTCACACTAGAGTGGGAAGTGCAGCCCCCTGCTGCTCAGGCAGAGTCCAGAGCCAAGCCCCAGTGGCTCCAAAGCTGCCCCAGCTCCAGAGTGTGCTGAACCAGATCCTATTTGGGCCATGGCCTGAGCCTGCAGCAACTGATCAATCAGAGCCGCTTGAGGTCTAAGCGCAGGCCCTGGGGTGCCTTCAGCGTTCGTGGTTTCCCGGTGGGTAACTCACCCGGAGGAGGGAGAGGCGCCAGCTTAGAGACTGCCCAGGACCATTCCAGCTCCCCACCTGCCCGCTCCGCCTCTCAGAACCACACGAGTGCACACGCCTGGACATGCACACAGACATATGTACATACCAACATGCACACGCACACAGGCATACAGACACAACACACACGATCTCATGTGCACTAGACACATGCTCATATTGCACACAAGAATGCACACATGAATGCGCACACATGCATGTACTCATGATTCTGTGCACGTGTGTACACACAGCACAAAGTGCGCACATGCACAGATACACAAAACATACACATATGAACACGTACACCGTGCACACACATACCTGTGCATACACACATACACACATGCACGAGCTCACACACGCATATATTTTCAAACATGCACACTCAAATATTCTGTCTGTCTGTCTCTGTCTGTCTGTCTGTCTATCTGTCTCTCTCTCTCTCCGTCTCATACAGGGCTAGATGCAAGCTCCTGGGCTCCTGCGTTCTCTGCCACTTTCGAGCTCCTGTTCCCTTGTGTGGCACAGCCAGCCAGCCCCCTCCCTGCTGGGCTGGCATCGCGTCACCTCCTCCCGTCTTTCCCAGGGAGCAGCCCAGATGGGTTGGATTCAGCTTCTGCATAAAGGGGGAGACACTTAGCTGAGCAGAGCGCCTACCCCCTACCTTTCCCCAGATGCTGTCCTTGGTTTTTCAGTCCTCTGACCCAGAGCTGCCT